ATCATTTATTTATTCAGGTTAGACATTAATACCGTTGAATGATTGCTTATTGGTCAAGAAATTATTTGTCTATGGGATCGCGGATACGCACAACTGTTGAGTCCCGTACTAAGACGAGATTCATCGGTAAGGAATACCATTTCAATCCCAAACCTATTGCAAAATCTATGTAATAACCTTAGGACAGATTCTTTATATCCTACGACCATGGATTATGTACGTTTCCACGATACCAACTGAACATTTGTCAAATACTTGGTAATAGGATGGCTAGGATATATAGACAAACGTGGACGTAATTGTATTTTGATAAACCACAACATAACAGACTGCTACAAAAGGCTTGTAGCTTGATTATTTTATTCTATCTGACACCGATGGGTACCAGCACAGCAATTTAGTTGTAATGTGCTCAAAACAAGCTTTGGTGGTCCTGATTTCAATTTCCAATTGTCCGCAGCCAGTGAGTTCTATGCAAGAACAGGATAGGTGTTTAGTGCTTCCTAATTTTCAACGGTTATCTAGCTACAGTTCTTTTCTTATAAACTGTTTTCAAAGTGAACTACACAAATTAATCGTCCGTTCTAATAAGTTTGTGTTATGTTTCTCATTAAAAACACAACTGACTTACCGATGGAAACCTATCACTTTCATGATTGAATTGATTTTGTGTGTAATCATATTAACTTGCATTGATTTTATTTACCACCTAGAGCATTTCAGACTGATTGGTAAACTATTGAAAATTTAAGATCAACTTTTTGTTTAGGTTGTAAAACATACTAAAACATGTTTATTTAGAATGTTGCTATCGTTGAAGGTTCCATCTATTCTGAATAAACTTAAATCGTAATTGCTATAATGAAGCAATCCATATACGCTAACCATTCGCCTGCCAACCAAGATTAATCAAATATCAATCAAAATATCAACATTGGGATTATCCAAACCAATTCAATTCCATATTAAACCAAAACATACTTTGTCATTTATTCAGGCAATCATTTTAAAGCTCCTTCAAAAATTAGTGAGATACGTTGTAATCTCTAAGTAAGGCAATAATACGATGTAAATAAAACATTTTAGTGATGACCGACTTGAAATCATCTGTCGAAAAAAAAATTCCCACCTCAAACTTTGGCAAAAATTAATAAATTAATAATGGTCTATGCACAAACTTTAACCAGTTGATTGATATTAAATTTTTACTTTGTCTAGAAAACTCTCAAGAAACAAATCATCCATCCATAAGTGCTGAAAAGAAATCTAACACACAACCAACTCATTAGCATAATACATCTAAACCATACGAAATTGTTACGCGCCAAAATTATTAGAGATTACTAGTTACAAAAATTAGGACACAATTCTGTTCAAAATGCTTCAAGCAAAAATGCATAAATTATCCTGTTCAACTATTTTTTGAATAGAAAAATAAAAATTCATCATGATTCACGATTTTATTTTATGGCATTTTTGTATAGCGTAAAGTTCATTTAATTGTTTTATGATGACCTTCAATCTGATTATTTTACGTATTTAAGTTTCATTAACAAAAATGAATGAAAGTAACAATTAGTTTATCATTGTCAACGTACATAATCGATCTATCAGACAATATTATTTTGAATCTGATGACATAATACATAATGTAAAATTTGTTTACACAAATTTTCAATCAACATTATATGTGTCAAACAAACAAGCGTAAAAATACAATTGAAATCATCAATCAATCATTGTTAGACCACCATTAGAAACCTGGAAGCACTGGACGGCCGTTTCGTCCTGGCATGGGACTCATCAGCAGTGCGCATCCACGACTCCTGCTCCTCGCAGGATTCGAACCCGAGACGTTCGCCTACAGTGCCAAAGGTCCCGGGTTCGAATCCTGGGAGGAGCAGGAGTCGTGGATGCGCACTCCTGATGAGTCCCATGCCAGGACGAAACGGCCGTCCAGTGCTTCCAGGTTTCTAATGGTGGTCTAACAATGATTGATTGATGATTTCAAATGTGTAAAAAATCGCAAACTTCCAAAACTGTGCCCCAAAAAATACAATTAAGGAAAAAGTATAATGTTCAATAAGTTTACTCAAAATGATGACAAAATCAGGTAAAAACGAGCAAAGTAGTACGGGCTTCTGTGTATCAGCATCGTAAAGTAGTTTTAAGTACCTAAAACATTTTCAAAGACATGAAGCGATAGCCACATTTCAGTATATATGATATAACCTCTGGAAATTGATAAATTTACTTTAGTATTGTGTCAACATTCCATTTTACTAATGGTTTTATGGGAATACATACATGTTTTGACCCTGGTGTTCTTTTCATACAGTACTTTATCCATGATTTAACTTGAAATCTCTCAATACGTATGAAACCGGTATTATTCATTATTCAAGGAAGTGATATGGTAAGTCCATTAGGAATTTTGATTTTTTTTCATTAAAAGGAGATAAGTTAAACCACAAGCAATTGTAATGACTACATCATACTATTTCCTAATGTTCCTTAAATATTATTCATCAAAATCCAGTTATCGTTTGACCGACTGCTTCAAAATTTACCGGAAAGTACGATTTCCGAAAGTTACAGAAAGTGTGTTGAGTGTTACACACATTCACACACGCCAACATGTTTGACAAAAATTGTTATGGATAACTAGTTATGTTTTGTTAGAATAAATGAATAACTTCAGCAGTACAAAACATCATCACATTCCTACTATTCGGGATTCATGTTATTTAAGAAATAAACCTAGTTTTAACAGACCAAATTTCAAGCATTACTTAGAAGTATTTCTCGGTGTGCAGATCTACAACCTCCTTTAAAGAGGGCAAGTGGTTTAAACAGAATATAGTGAATATTTACGTTACTTATATCTCATGTTCACAGGGATACCATTTGTACAAATTTATTTTTATAAGAATGTCGATATTACCACCTCAATGACTTCAGATATTAATTTACTTTGCATTTCTTTGCATCGTTGTTTGAATGAAGAAATCAAATTTACTTCCAATTCTGAAAGTCACTGAGCAGTTAAATATAAAAAGATTATTAAGTTTTTGCTGGTGATTATAGTTTTAGTTTACGGTTACATAGCATGCTCAGTAAAGATGCTTAATGAAAAACAGAGTAACTATGAAATCTGAAATGAACCCTATTTCATTTTATCTTTTCGTATGGCAGTTAATTTGTAGATCTTATCACTCTAAACAAAATGTTATGCTGGGTTAATGCGGGTCATTGAACACCAATTCGATTGATTAGTAAAAAAACCAACTTCACTCATTAATTATCCAACAATTACAAAAATACAACATTCACAAACTAATGTCCCTTGTGGTGGAAATCAAAATTTATTCATAGTTAATAAGTTCATTACTATTCATTAAAATTATTGAGACATTGAATAACTATTCCCAAATAGATATATGAACAAACTAATTTTCAACCAGGAGAGTTGAATTTTATGTATAATTACAATGAAAGAGAAATTGAAAAAAAAAATCAATGATCTATTAACCAACAACATAGAAAATAATTAATCGATCAAAATGAACTTTTTATTCTTTTGCTCCATATGATAACATTTAAATATCAGAGAAAGTTTCAGTGGCTAAACAATAAAAATTGTCACTATTGAAATACTTCACCAACATATACAACTACTAATAAGATAAGTAGAAAATTGAAAAGAATTTCAAGAAAATTAGTTAAAACTGTAGTCATTTTGAAAGATGTTGGTGTATGAAACATTCTATGAGCTTTATTCATAAATGTAAAAAATAAATTCATTCAGATTAACGTTACTCAGCAAAGTTAAACTTGCGCCATCTTAAACACGAAAAATCCAAAACTCGATATGAAAATAGCATCATCATATGAATACTACTTACAAATATAAAATTGAACAGTGATTCAGTAATATTTATATCTGAAAGACAATTTATACTAATTCGTTAAAGTAACAACATTTCAAATGATTATTGAATTTAAACCAGATAAAATTAAGAATATCATTGAATTAGATACATCAACAATAAAACGTGACAGTATCATAGAACTCATCCAATCACTCTTCATTTTGTAACATTCTATTTTGAGCAGTTCATCATCATGCTGCTTTTTTGATGTCCATGTATTGATCTGTTTCACGTGCTAACATTTCATTCCCACTAATTTGTTAGTATTCGCATGAATTATTACACACACTTTATACTGGTTAACAGATATCATATTTCTAAATTAAACAGTGTATTGATATAGCTCATTTCTAGTCGTAGGTAGTCAAATCAAACATGACCAGACGAAAAGAAAAAAAAATACGATAATATTACATCACTGTTGATGCAGATAAAAATAGAAAATTCGAACAGAAGTAAGAAAGGTACATTCGTAACAATGAACTAATTAAATGGGGATGCAGTGATGCCTTGCCCTACACCAGTGATTCGTCTAGCATTTCAATGAACTGAACAATGGTGTCCATGAATTCCTAACTGATCATCATGGATTGCTTGTTTTTGGTCTGTAATAGTAATTTCTAAGGAATCATGACATTGTTCTTCACTTACTCTAGTGATTGAAGTAATATGAACATGTTTCGAGTTGTTAATTGCTTTGTGTTGAGGCAAACAACGTATTATTGGGGTGCTTGTTATATACTCGAGAATTCAGTCATCGAAATCGATTGCGACCTAAGGGATTTCAATGACTATTTGAATTTTCATGACCTAATGAAGCGTAAGTAAACTGTGATTTGCTTCTGCTGCATTTTTGATTGACAAAATTAGCCATATAAATGACGAAAGCTTCGTTGACTTCATTAAATTGTATACTTATATTTTAAACACTATTTGCTGACTTTATTGAAGATACTGTTGATGTAATTACATGTATGACTCAGATATTATTTTGTAAAATATGCAAAAGTTATAAGACATATGCCTTACCTTGGACGAAAGTGAAAAGACAATGCCCAAGATAATTGATTAAGAACAGCGTTGCCAGTGAAATGCTTTATAATGGTGTAAACTCCATTCTTGATTTACTTGATGATAATTTAGAAATAATCTTGATTTCATAGCTTGCAATTCAACAATCGATAATGGTGTTTTTAAAGAATGTGGTTTGTGACCACCAGTAGGAAACTCAACACTCTCTACAACTCCATACTGTTGTTTTATATTACTGATTCCAAACATTAGCAAATAATTTCATCTGATTTAATGGATTCTGATGAGGAGATTGTTTTGTTTGTTCTATCTGATGATCGCATCATATTATAAAGCTAGTAAGCCATTCAATATAATTTGTCATAAGAAAAATTTAGTATTCCGATTTGACTAGTTTGATAGTTTGTCTATGCATGTGAAGTTGATAATGGTCAGTATTTCAGCTGTGATATCGAAACATTCTGTTAAAAATGTTGTTAGTTGACTGTTTTATCCTCTGTGGAAATCGATTATTTGTAGTTCAGTGAACTTTGTTCTGAATTCGATTCCCTCACATCAAATAAATGTTCGTTTTTCAAAGTAGCACTGTATGTTATCAGGTATTCCGTGTACTTGATAACTTCATCATCATCTATCTATGATGAAGACGTAATCCAAATCGATTTAGTTGATGATTTTTCATCCAAATATTATTTTTAAATAACTTTCAGGTAGCTGGTAAATACTTTCTTGAATTAACTTACTCATTGTATACCATGGTGAATAGTGACTTCAGTGTGAATTTCTTCATCATTTTCAGAAACCTGCATATTCAGAATCGACTAGGCTTACAGTCACATTCATCATTTGTATGTGAATATACGAAAATAAATTAAGCGAGACTGGCATGTTTACAACACAAACAAAACAAATTCGACATGGAAGAGAGACATGAAATGAGATAACGGAAATGTATGTTCACGAGTCGGTTAATTTCGTCTCAGTTATGTTCTCTGAAAACGAGAACCATATTCAGGTTACTAGTCGACATGATATTTCATCACTGTTTACGTTCCGTTTGAATAATTTAGACTCATCGACTTTTCATAAACACAACGAGGTATGAGATTTGACCAATCCTGGTACATCAAATTACCGAACATTATTGTATACCGCAACCAGTAGATAAATGAAGAAGTATCCGAAGATGTTGGCAATCATTTAGTAAACTGGATGACATGAGGAAACATTATGAATGGCTGATTCGCTAGCAACTGAATAAATGTGATGGAACATACGAGTGTTGGCAGTTACTTTGCAGACAACATGTATCCAATCACATCGACTAACTCAGAATCATGTATACTTGGTATCTTTCATCATTCGAAGCTGTAATCGTGAATACTTCATTGTCCTTCTGGAGAATGACACACACTGGAATTCATAACGATGAGACCTCTTGTTAATGTTGATTACACAAAAGTAGTATTAGATAACTGTGTTAAATTTATTCTCATGAAAATGTACATCATCGAGTGGATATTGGTGATGGTATTGTTGGTTGTGGTGAGATGTTGAATATCGTAATGATGAAGTGTAACTGAAAAGTGAATAAGCATCCAATGTTACTAGAGAGGAATAATTGTGTAAATGTCTAGCAAATTCGTATAACTGGAATCTATATTTAATCATCATAGAAATATGGGAACGATAGGTGGGGATATGCATGTGAGGCTTATGTTAATTTCATAAATCTGTTGCTGATTTGTTTGAAATTAGACTGACTTCCTAAATGATTGATATTAAAAAGGTTATTTACACTGGTTAAATTCACAATGTGAGCTCAATTCAAAATAGTGCTTTTCAAAATAAATGAAATAATTTTGCAGAACAAGTTTATCTTCTAACGATAAATAAAGTAAACAAATTCATTTATTTCATCTTATCTACTCAATTTTGGCTGAATCTTCATCATTAGAAAATTGAGTTTATTAGGTCAACCTATGATAATGATTCAATTGAATAACGTTTCAGAAACATACAGTGTTACTAGAGAATAGTAAGTGTGTAAAGGTCTACTAAATGTTTATTTGGGCATTTTAGAAATATGGGATTGATATGTAGAAAATGCATGCAATAGTCAAGGTGAAGCATAATATAGAAGCATTTGACCAAGTATGTACTCATGTACATCATTCTTACGATATAACATCAAAAGTTTTTTAATGCTGTCTTATTTTCTTCTTTATTGATCTTGTTTTTTTCGTGATTTGTACACACAAGCAGTATGATTTTTTTCTCTTATAAATATTCACTAAATATACTCCACAAGTGACTTACTTGAATGATAGAGAATGGAATTATAATCCTGACTGTTAATTAAATGACAATTAATTAATGCTTAATTTTTCATTTATTAGACGTAAATTATCTGTAATTTTTCTTAAATATTTTTCTAACGAAATGGAAGTTCAATGTTTCTTCAAGAATAAATAGTTTTCTTATGTGAAATATTATTTTGCTTTCTATTCCTCACATAAGTTTACGCAATTGAGTATTCACTGTGTTTTAAATCACAAAAAAATTCTGATCAATCTTTGCGTGCCTTGGTCGTATTCAAACGCAGATACGCACTTTCAGAATATATATATATATATATATAATTGTCAAAAGTTCCAATTTTTCTCATATCTCTATCTACATGTAGACAAAGTAGCTTATTCCAAAGTGAATCAATTCTTAATTATGTGTATAGAACAGTATTTTTGCAAAATGTTTTGGTTGAATAATTTCTTACAGTGGATTTGTGCAACGAAAATATCTAACAAATTATAATACGTTAGGAAATAAACTGGGCTAGTAAATGGAAAAAATTTAGTAAGGTGTTTTTCATATAAATATATTCTATGCTCAGAATGTATTTAGCATGCTATTTGACGCAACTTGTAAAATACGATAAGGTCTCAGCTATTCATAACTGTTAACACAATTACGTCATCGTTGTTTCGTACATCATGATATTTGTATACTCACCGACCAAATGTTATTACTATTCTTTATCTCGTTTACGTAAAGTATGCACATAAATTTGAGGAAAAAGTATGTACATTAATGTCTATTGATCCTTGCAAATGTTTCCGTAAATCAGATCAATATATCTTGTCTTATCAAAATCTCTATTCCAAACTAATGGATACTCACCGACCAAACATGTTTGACGATAGTTAGAAGATTGTATCAAAACATCTCCCTATTATAACTGTTTATACATATATGTATTATAAAGCCCTGAGATTACTTTTTTCAATTATTTGAGTTAGTAAAGATACATTTCAATTGAAAGATTGTAGCTTTTTAGTTGTTGGAAACAAATTTTTACCCAGGAATCAAGGTTACAAGAAATATTTTTTTAACTAATCACTTATGTTTTATTCCTTATCCTTTATGTTCAGTTATTACATTATGTATATGAAACATTTCTTGAATAAACTCTATCAGCTCTCGTGTAAGAATGCCTTAACAAGTATTTAGGTGAATAAACAGTTGTAAATATATAATGCAAGCATATCATATTCTTTCGATCAACTCTATCTCATTACACTATTGAAAGTAATAATTCATTTAAAAGTCACATTTACTGATTTCTATAAACTAGCGAACAGTTACAGTAAGTTTTAGAAGAAAACATCGACAAACAGAGATATTATTATGATAAATAGATACTTCATTCAATCGTGGAATTCCAAAATTTCAAATGCACTTAAAATTGTTGGTTTATCCTTTCATTATATTCATAAAGGGATTTCAATCAGTTTGTTAGAGTACGTGTTTCCTGATAAGATACCTTATTACAGTCTGGTAAATTCCAAATGCATCCAGCAGTAGAAACTATGAAGTTCATTTATTCCTGATTGGAACACCACCTAGATATGGCCGCATGACAGAGTTGATGTTCTCAAAGAGACTGAAATAAAAACTGATCAAGATTCAGTCATAAATGTCAACAACGCAATAATTCAAAAACATGCAGATAAACGTCGTACCCATGAAACAACCTCCTGGCTGCATAGACTCAATAAATCCGTTAAAACTCTTTGATTCGCAAAGTCATCGGTACCTAGTTCCAGTCTTTCATGTATTTTCGGAGAAATACTACTTGTATGACCTATGTATTTATTAATCTTTATATACTCAATTAATATTCAATAAAGAGAAAATTATCATTATTTTTAAACACTGACAAATTCATAAAACTTAAACTGATGCTTGTTTACTTCTCATGCTTATTAGAAAATAACAATCATTCTTTAACGTTTTTTCAACACATTAAAACAAAATCACATATATTGTTTCCTAAAGCATAAGAAATTTTAAAGTTTGAAATTTTATAATAAACAAATAAAACTGAGTTGAAAAATTCCACATTACAGTATGACATACAGTGGAAGGATACTTTTTAACCACAAAAATTATATTCTTGAATACTTACATTTCTATTAAATATTGGAGATATTCATAGCAAACCAGTTAACTATGATTTGTTTAAAAAATTCTGTTTAAAAATTTTGAAAAAATAACACAGAATTACTTTAATGTAAAAATATGCTTACGATTTCAAAATTCCAACAGATTTCTCACTGTTTTTTGCCGTTTACTTTGAAATTAAATTTATATAGTTTAAATTCAAGGTATAACTAGGTTTTTTAGCTCATAACTTTCAACTTTTTTGATGAACACTTAAATACTGATATCACGTTAACTTTAGATGATACTTTTTGCATCAAACTAACACATCACATGGTGATGCACATACTTACTACTGAAAAACAATTTGCATATATATACCATCTAATTTCTTTTATCATGATTTGTCAGTGGCCATTTCATTCTTATTGAAATTAAAATTCTTCGATTTGAAAAAGTGAAAATAAATATTCTTTATTGGTTAACTAAATTACTTTATACACATTTCATCAAAAATCAGATTAGTATCTTGTTTATCAAATAAATGTAAACAAAAAATTTATGTACAATTCAAAATTCATTCCATTAAGTTTTAACTTTTACTTCAACATTCAACAAGTTTTGAAATTAAGTGAGTATAATAACTAATATGTTGAGAACAAGTATATAATGTAGTATACTGGACACATTAAAATTCTATAACAGCTGTCCTAATGTCTTTGCATAAGTTGTTCCTCATTCAACTCAAAGATTATCATGTGTAAGTAGAATGGATTAATTTCTTTCTATTGAAAGTATTGTTCTTT